AGTGTTAAAACTGTAGTGCTTTATCTGTCTTACTGAGATACAGGCTATGTCTGTTGTACACAAGTTACAATAGTTACAGTGTCAAACAGAGTTATAGCCAGTGTTGTAGTCCTCGAAATCAGTCTTGGGCTTGAGACCACTTCTCAGTCTCAACTGGGACTCGACTGCAGTTTCGCTCAAGGTAGGACTCGATGACACAATCACTTGTTGTTGCACATACTTGAGACTATGAGTGGGAGTGATAGTATCATCTGAGGGTATCTGAGGGTTTCTGAGGGGGAGCCATTGGGTTAAGATTAGATGGAAAGAAAAGTAAGAAAAGGAATAGATAGATAGAGATGAAGGAAAGAGCATGGGGAAGGTAGACATCTGTTCGGACTGAAGAGATGGACTCTCTTACTCCCTCATTTTCATGAGAGAAGAAACAAAAGATGAAAAATGACCCAACTTGAATTGATGTGGACTTTAATTTTTAAGTTTAGAGTGGTCAGCCCCTTGTTGTTGCACATACTTGAGATCCTGAATGATAGGGTCACTTGGTCTTGTCTCAGTCTCAGACAAAGTGAATTTTCTTTCAAGACCAGTTTAGACCACGACCAAAAATGGAGTGTCAAATTAAGATGGTTGAGGTGATTTCGGCTCCGTAGTGTTTGCATTTGTTTGCCCATAGAAAAACAGAAAGCAATGCCTTTGGATTATTTTATCAAGACGTTTCTTATGGCACACTTGTACATACACACATATAGAGAGTGTGGTGATATAAAACAGTTGAGTGAAGGCAAACCTTCATTAGTTTTCTGAGGGTTTCTTTATGGGAATTTGGATATTTAAGATCAGTTTTAGAAGTGCCTATCGTTTTTTTTATCGTAAGTGTATCGTGCAGTATGGGACTTGTAGTGATCTGGTCTTGATCCTGGCTTGGTCTGGCCCTGCTTTGGTCTTGGTCATGACTTGGTCCTGGTTTAGGTGGTCTTGACTACAACACTGGTTACAGCCAACTCATACAAACATCCTACGTGGGTTGCATGCACATAGGCAGGACCGCGTTATGTACGTCTCGTATGAAATCTCTGTATCATCACTGTACTACTTTGTTATGAACATATCTGTCTCTGCATCCAGGCGCCATCCTACCGTTGCACGATAGACCACGGATACCAAGTAGAATAGCGATCTGCTATCTATTCACACTATATCACACAGGTGCTGCTTCAGGAATTTCCTTTATTGCGTAGCACATGTGACCAACATGTCACACTATGTAATAAGAAAGGAGTTAGACATGAAAAACTACTGGTATGGTCCTTTAATGTACGATGAATTATTAAATGTATCCAAATCTGTCTTCAGCAAACAAAACGGCCCTCTCTACCCTTGTCTTTCCTCCCAACTACTCTGTCCCCCACTCTTCCATTTCCGCCCTGCAACCAGACCTAATGACCAACCCATAAACTAATCTCTCCCATAGTAACACCTTTTAGCTACCTGACTCCATCACAGTGATTATTATGCTGTGTGTTTTTATTATAGTATATGATGACGTGCATTGGATATTAGTGCAGGCTGTATACAGAATGTGTACGTATATGTGTGAGTTGTGTGCAGGCATGTGTGTTTATATGTGTTTTGTGTATTGTGAGCCCGGCGGAGGCTTTCCCTGTGTGGCTGTAAAAAGCACGATAGGGGAAAAAACGCTGAGTCTTTGATGCTAATATGAAGTGTCATATCTTCCCTCGCAGTGTGTGTGTATTTGTTGTGTGTGTGTGTTGTGTGTATACAGTATGTGTGCACTGAGAACTTATGCAATTACAGTTCCTTTCTGCTTTACCACGCTGACTAAAATGCTGATGGACGTACAGCCCTAAGCTGACACAAGCAATCACTCCGCCGCCGTGTGTGTTTATGTGCGTGTGTGAAACATGTACAAACACACACTAATTCTTGGCTTAATGTAATGTGACTGAGAGTGCTGTGTTGTAGGCAGAGGTTGAACACACACATGCGCGTATGCTCACACACACACACACACACACACACACTGTCTAAGAATAGTCGGTTCACAGCGGTGCCGAGGCTCAGAAGGCCAGTTACTGTAAAAGGATTTTCATAAGTTGAGTTCTGAAGGCTGAGCTGATCTGTACAGCAGGTCCTCTTCTCCTCCTCCAGCCCGAGAGCCGAGAGAGAGAGATAGTCTCTCACCCTGGGACATTAATTGGCTCATTAATGTTCTTTCTTCTAAACTGCTGGAATTAAAGTTTCCTCCTCCATTTACATTCTACTACTGCTGCTACAGTCATTACTTCTTCAGGAATCACTACTTAAAGTAGAAATATTATCACAGCAGTGGAGCCTGCGACCACCAATGTTTTCATTGACACTATGTATATATTTCTGCTGGTCCTACTGGGTTTGTTACTACCACAATACCAAAACTGGTGACACACTGGTGCTGATGTACAGTCTATATATCATAGATAAGGGATTTTAGCATTAGGGATCTTACATGTCACACAGTTGTCCTTATCAAGGTTCATCCTTGACCTTGGAGATAGAAGTTTGACCAAAAAAACATGAAAGCTTTTTCGACAGCTTTCAACTGTATCACATGGGCAGCTGCTGAGCCATGCATGTTAACCGATCCATGTCTATGACAACTGTGCAAACTCCTGATGAATGATTTGGTTGAAAGCTCCAGTAATGGATGGTGGGTTGACCATCCGGTCTCAACCCCAACTCGTCAAACACTAATGCTTGGTCATTAGCCCTCAGCGTCAGATACCGACCAATGAGGCAGCTTTAGTGCCATGAGATGCACAGGCTGGTGGCGGTGGCTGCTCGGACTGTCAAAGAGAGTCCGCATAGGGTGGGTGGTAGGGGAGGTGGACAGGTCAAACAAACTCTAGACTTTCACCCAGGAGTCCGCTGTTCATTTCCCATGTGCAACCGAAAGTCCACAATTATTTTAATTAACAACTTAGTGTGGTAGTATGTGTAGCATACTATGCCAGTGACATGATATTACATTACATTAGTAACAAACATACTTACTTCAATCCAAACCATGATGGGGTTTTCTTAAACATAACCACATGGTTTTGTTGCCTAATCCAGTGGTTCTCAACCTCTTCTGTGTCAAGAGCCCCTAAATTGACACACATTGAGGTCCAGACACGCCAAATTACCAAATTAACTTTAGAGCACTAGTGGTGATGAAGGCCCCGTGCTGCATTGCTTGACGTCACTGTGTCTCAGCCAAAAACGTTGCACATGAGCACACCACAAAGACTACAAACAACAGTCAGCCAGCATGTACTTTCTGTGCCTGTGTGAGAGGAGATAACTCTCCACGCCAGCAGACACGGTAGTCAGTACTTGTCATTCAGAAAGGGAAACTGGAAGACCGTCTTGACACTGGTTAGCCAATTAGCACATTGACAACACAATCCTGTGTTGAAAGAACAAAGCACATCTTCCATGCGCCAGTGACCAATAACACAAACCATCATGAACCATCAATGGCTGAAGAAAAATTATCTTACCTTATATAACAAGTTTGTTTTGACCTCACGCCCTCTTAACTGTAACTCTTTGTTTACAATCCTCACTTCCATTTCCCTTCTTGTGCGCTGAGCTGAACTGCCAATTGGAGTCGATTTCATTCACTGATGGGCTTTGCTGTCACAGATGCCAATTCAAAATGCTGACTCAGTGAAAAAAAAGCCAGCTAGCACCAATGAGGGCCAGCAGTGCAGGACATACCGTACTGACGAGGACGGCAGCTGCTTGCCAATAGCCTAACTTTGAATGACGGCCAACTGTCGGCTTGGTGCGTCAGGGCCTTTAGGTCATGGACCCCCATTTAATAGAAGTTCACTTTAGGGACCTTGATTTAAAGAGGTTTTGGTTGTCAGATAGGATTAAGACCAGAATTCTGTAGTTGTTAACTACAGTTGATGAAATAACCATGAAGGAAGTGAAACTTGAATCGAGAATAGTATCTCTTATGACTCTTACTCACATTGGGCTCACCTTCATGATCAATTGAATAGTGCAAAAAAACTATTCCCTGTTTTTCAGGGGACATCCTAGAATTCCCTCAGAGACTCTGGGCCTAAACCTAGCCGTAGGCTTTTGTTGCCTAAACTTGAGGAAGTAAACCTAAATACTTTGTCTTTTTAACCTATATTCCAAGTTGATTTTTAAAAGAAACTGCATGTAACAAGCAGAAACTGTACATTTCCTGTGAAAATGGAAGTTTATTTTGAGAAGACACAAGTGAAAATTGATGCAAGAGAGATACCTAGAGCGTCATAGTTTCATGTGAAGGGTCACTGACTAGTAGAAAAGAAAGACACAAACTAAAACGTAAACTGAAATGCTTTAAAATGCCACTGAAATAAAAACGTAGATGAAATTTGATTAAACACAAACTATACATACTAATCTCTAGTTTAAGTATATCAATCTTATGTGTTTGAATACATTTACGATTGTCTCAGCAAGAGAGGTGATAGACACATTTCAACTGTGCATCTTGGATACAAACAAACCTTGCTACCCCAAGAATATACAGAGAGTACAATAACAATAATAAAAAAGTAATGATACTGGAAAGATCATGCTGCATAGCCACAGGTGGTGTACATTGTTTTCTTCCTGCCTCCATGTCGTTGCCATGACACTATCAGTATGTGCTAATAATGTTTGCAGTGGACATCTGCCTTTACTAGACAGAGGCACATTGGGATTCAAAGCCCTGTTCTCTGTTGCCAAGCGCTGATACAGCAGAGGTGTTTAACTTATGTGTATGTACACTACATCTTCCACATCCTTGACTCTGTCTTCTACTTTTTCCAAACGTCCTCATCACTCTTCTTACTGTTCTCCCTTCCTTGGTTATCCTCCCCTCCAATTTATTTAACTCTATTTCTTTTTATGTACAGGTTTATTTTATTGTACTTAATTCACCTTTCTCTCCCTCTGTCTTTCTCTCTTTGCAGCCATCGGTGTCCAGATGACTCTGGATGTGCTGGAGTCCAAATTCTGGGCCATCGCAGGACAGGTAAGTACAAACAGGCTCAATGTGATGCAGGTGTTCTCCTCCTCTTCACTTAATGAATCCTTTATATTTTACGTAAGCATTGTGACACTGATCGAGAAAACAACTATTAACTATAAGTTGACTTTCTGCAAGTTGTTTGCAACTTTTTGCTTTCAAAACAGTGACATTTAATGGATGCCACCATCTGATAAACAAAAGCATGAATCATAAATGTCAGGTGCCACTGTGTATTGTTTGGGAAATAAACCCTGCGATTAGAGTATTATTGCTCTAGATTTTTATCCACGTTTGATTCATAGTTGTTTTTATTTTTTAATGCCCACTATAAAACAAGTTAATTGTCGCACTGCACTGGCACTAATGAGAGAGACTTGATGTATTTATGGATACAGCTGTTTCATTGAACAATGCTTGTGGAATGCAAACAACGTTATCATGCTGTTTTGAGTTACTGTGGGTTAATACAGTACCACCCTCCCCATATAATGAGTCTCCTGAAATGATCAGTCTAAAACTGTTAACATCTGTGGCATTAACCATTTTCAAAGATTGTGTTCCTGGTTTGACATTAAAACGTCACATTTACACTTTAGGCACTGACCAAGCACCAAATTCCTGTGTATCAATAACTCCCTCTTAAATATCCTACTCAACAAATGACATGATTAATACACTGTCTGCTCCAGGGGTTTAACCCATTGCCTCCGCCTTTGATACCGGAATACCCCTTTAAACCACCACACCATTCTGACACCATTTATTACTGCATGACAAGGAGTCAATGATGATTATAGGTTATTGTCCTGTTCCATTAGCTGGTAATTACAGCATGTACACTTTGTTTCATTCAAGGCTAAATGCAGGGTTTTCCATATCTCTGCAACCACCATAAAGAGAGGGCTTACCCTGCCAAAAATTTTATTTTGAAAGATTAAAGCCCAGTTCCATTACTTGCTGCTATTTTCCCCCTACCTCTGTGGTTTTGAGTGCCACTTTGCCCCTCGGAATAGTGTTAAAAGGCATAGTGGTCGAAAACTTTGCTGGATATTGCGAATATGCTGCCTTCTGCAGTGGGGATTTCTTGTGTGTGGGCTGCAGGCATCTTTTTGTGGTTGTCAGGACACTTGTGAGTCTTTAAGTTTCTGTGCTTCCAAGCGATCCAACAAGTCATCAAAAAAGAAAGATCACTGCTTCATCATCAGACCTCGAGCTGTGCTCTGGAGGCTAACGTTAGCAACTTCCTCATTAGAGGAGCGGTGACAAGTGCAGAAACTTCACTGCTGGATTTTAGTAAATTTTGTGCATCGTATGGTATCTAATGAGGAAATGCAATGTGGAAATATGTCAAAATGTAGGACATATGAATCAGCAATAACAATGTATGTGGGGCCCATGTGGGTTTCTAGATGAGCTGAAAAATGGGCCCTATATGGGATGGTCCATGGGTTTCATACTGGCCACATGCCAGTAGCCTACATAGGTAGGTTTACCCAAGTGGGCCCCACATAGGTTATGGTAGGACTACTTGGGTACCAAGTGAGTATGGACCCAAAACCCACCCATGTGGGCAATTGGCATGGGGCAAATATGGAACCCTTGTTCAATCCAATATAAGGCCCACTTTAACGTCCATTTCCTACCCACATGAGCCCCATTTACAAATGTTGGCGGGTAATGTTAGCTAGCTAGCTAGTTAGCTACAGAGACATCAGCATACTACCAGCGATTTCTTTTGTTATGCTTGTTATGAAGAAAAGGACTATAAGATACTGCAACGACATTAATTAAACTAAAATAATTTGATAGTTATTGTAATTTTTAAATCTTTATTTACAAAGAAAATACATTTGTGGGTTTCTGTTGTTGCTTGTGCAGCCATTTTACAGATGATTTCTCATAACACTCAGTTTGAAGTGTGCTTCTGAAAAACCTCAATTTGAAGGGCCATCGAGACACCCTATCCCTAGACATGACTGCTCAAAATTGAGGGGTAAGGGGTGTATTGGGATTGAACCTAAATGCCATCTTTGGAGTTGTTGTCAGCTTACGTATATTTTGTGTCCTGCTCATGTGTCCTTTCATCAGTACTAGCTCCAATGAAGGATCTTAGTGTTCTTTGAGTTCTCCCACACCTTCAAGAAAACATTTTATCCAGGACAACTTGCTTAATTTGGCGTAACACCTCTGCTGTAGCAGGTGTTTGATAGCTTGGCTGTTCCCCCCTCCTGCTCCTGTGGCTGTAAATGACAGCAGTTAAAAGAGCATTAGGGCTGCTGGCTAGCCATTAAATGATGGATAGCCACCACGGCGAGGCTCACTAACTCCCAAGTGTGAGTGTGTGTGTGTGTGTGTGTGTGTGGTGTGTGTGTGTGTGTGTGTGTGTATGGAGGTGTGAAGAAGAGAGTGCCGTATATGTGTATACTGTTAATGTTAATATGTGTCATGTTGACGGGGACCATATGCATGAACCATCTGTGCACGAGTGTGTTGTTATGTCCATATTCATCAACTAGGAACTCATTAGCATCATTTGCAGTAGCCTTGTTATCCACTAGATTTATGCTGCATAAAAAGTCATTTACTGTGAGCACCTTCGACTTCCTCAGCCCTCCCTCTTCGCCTCTGATAGCTTACATAATCACCTCATCTTCCTGTCATGTACTCACTGTCAACCCTCTTTATTTCATAGAGGATTGTGTGTGCATGCACTCATCATATGTGCTTGCCCTGACTGTGTATGTTCAAGTGTGCCCATCCATGCATAGATGTATGTGTGTGTGAAATCCTCTCTGGTCTATTTTAAGTATTAAGCTCCCTCGGGGGTGAAGATACTGTACCTACTGTAACATCCAGAATAAGATACGTATATACTCAGGAGGATGTGCAATAACCAACTTCTGCCAAAAAGGGTTTCATACTGGCTCAGTGGCTTACAAAGACACATGTGGTGTTTGAAGTGTTGAAGGGACGGTTCACCCTTAAAATCAAAAATAGATATTTTTCCCCTCAAACAAGCACGTGTTACGACACTCAACTCCCGTCTGTGCAGGAGACCAGAGAGAAAGGTGTTTTTAAAGTCTCTGTGTGTTCACCTCTCAGTACTTTTGTAGCTTCTACCTGAATCTCTGTGGTTTGGAGATTAGTTTCTCTCTCTGTCCATGTTTGTACTTTTCAGAAATCTGCTTTATTTTACAGCGCTATGAGAGTAGTTAAGTTACTGCTGAAAAAAAAAACATTTCTTCATTTTGCTGTAATGTAAACAAGTCTAATAACACCACAGGAAGGGAGAGTAAAAGCAGAAACAGGCACAGTGAGATGTGGGATTACGTGCTGTAGGCAACAGGCTGTCACTGGACCTCTGGACCAACAGGTAAACTTCTAACTTTCAGTGCTTTGTGATAGAAAAATACTTACTGCAAAATTTTGGTGGACCTTTAGCCATTTGTGGATCAGCCACTTGTTGCAGCGTACCATTTAACCACTCTTAACAACAGCTTGACAACAAAGTTAGTCCCGGCCAAGGCGCTGTCTGGAATGGACACTACAGGTAGAACTGTAATGTCTTGAGGCACAGCTGCTACAAACTGCATATTGATTGTGGTATTTTGTGAGAGACTTTCACCTTACCTGTTCAGGTTGCTGCACTGTCAGACTGAAACCATGAGCGAGAAAAAGCAAAGGTGAGAAATTCAGTCACTAATCTACAAAATCCTAATCCTTCAGTATTACAGTAACTGCTGTTTGAGAGGTTACTTAACATATAAGGTTTTTACCAAAGACAGTACCTTTGGATGTAACGTCTTTGTGATCACCAACAATTAGCTCAGTAACTATAAATTAGTTACACATTTTGTTCTCTGTAACTGTAAGTAATTTAAATAACATTCATTTTGTAATTAAATTACACAACTCTGTTACGTGTACAGTGACACTGGTTGATCACCTTGAACTTTCCCACCAGGCAAATGCTGAAAATCAGAGAAAAACAAGAAATGAAGGGGGACGGAAGTGAAGTGAACCCAAAGAAAAAGGTTTGTATGAGATTACCTTCAACACTGTAGCTGCCTCTGTATTTTATGAATGTATATTCTTTTATTTTTACTTCTTTCTTTCAGTTTAAAATGTGTTTTTCTTGAAATATTTTGCCTGAAATCCCTAATTAAGACAAATATGATCTTTCTTTCCAAATAGTTACTTAATAGTAACACACAGTGACTTCCACTGTGTGCCCTGTTAATTAAATAGGGTTAAATTATTACACAATGAAGACAAGTTTACACAACTTGTTGATCCAAGTGTTTTTATTTTCAATCTCAATATTCTATTTTGTGACATGTACCAGGTTCATGCAGGAGATGTCCAAGACTTCCTAAAAAAAAAAATCCAAACTTGCTGTGCACGGATGCAACCTGCCAAAAAGGCAACCGCCAGCTGATGAAACAACACACCTGCAACACAAAGGTTAGTCTGCCATTCATAGTCATTGCAAAACAAATCTATTATTTATTTTGCACTGCATAGTAACAGTATTACATTATGCTTATAATTATTATGGTGTTTATCATTAACAATGGTGTATTTGTTTAAGGCATTTTGCAATTTGTCCCTCCGTCTGACATTCCCCTTCTTATTTTGTCTTGTATTGTTGTCCTGTATAACAGGCGGGTGATGACAAACTGGTTTCAACACAGTTTCTCCCACTACCAGTTAGAGCTGTCAAGACCCATCAGCAGGTCAAGCTGTTGAGCAAACGCACCTCATCTTCCAGCCTTAAGGCCCATTTATGCTCAATGTTAAATACAGATCTGGATACAGACAGAGCCTTCTGTCTGTGCTCCGCGTTCATTTCGTCTGGATTTCTGCACGTTTCCATAAAGCATATGGATATGGGCCAAACGGAGAAGTACCACCAGAAACTGTGGGGGCAGTGTTGCTGTCACTACCCGATACGTAGCTCTAGTGAGACACGAAGAAGAAATAACAATGGCGGAACTTTTTGA